CTTTGTTACATTATACAAATATATTACCAGTCAAGTAATGAAGGCTAATGCTGACTACAAAACCTCCCACTGTATGTAAAATACAATGTTTCTTTTCCCTAAATTTGGCAAAAGGCTGGAAGATCACACACATACACACCCCATCCTGGTTACAGTGATGGAGGCGACATCATCTAAGGAGTGTTATGAAACACACAAAGCCACCTTCAGTGTACTCCATCACCATCCATCATCTTCCCAACATGCACTTTCATAGCCAGTGAGTTAGCGACCCACCGTTGTAAATGAATGTACAAATAGCGCAGAAAACAGGCGTACACGCGCAGATACACACACTGTACCTGATGTGATACGAGCATGCCCCGGACCCTCCACCCCTGCAGCAGCATCATCATCATCAGCAGCAGCAGCAGCTGCCCGTCTTCAGCAGCCTCAGCACACTCATCTCAGGAGCAGGGGAGGAGGAGAGAGCTCAGGCGAGGCTGCCGATTGGCCGAGCATGATGTCATTTAAGGGTCCATTTCACTCAAGGCACTTACTTCCTGCCTCTCATCCTGACAGACGCTGGCTGGTTTAAAGAGACAGTACTGTTTTTGTGTGCACTGACTGCAGGCCATTTTCAATCCTGACTTTCCAAAATGGATTATGTTTTGCTTTAATTGTTGACCATTGAAAAAACCCTTATTAAAATGTTCAATTTATAAAATCATTATGATTTACAGTTTTTCTTTGTCTCCCATCCATTATGAATGGAGGGCTCATCCCGCCCAGAATCTGTAATCTGCTGGCTCTTGGTTCTCAGTGCCAGATGGAGCCAGGCTCCAACCACAGCACAAAGGAGAGTCGTTCCCCCCCAAGGGAGGGCCGGCTTACAAAGGGGGTGGAAGTACCAGCATGGAGCTGGACGGGCAGGAGAGGAGGGGGCTACATGTATCAGATGCTGTAACCTTATCCTAAAAACTGAAAGGGAGGGGTCTCATTTCTCACAGAGGTTTATGATTGCGCCCATGCTCAAATGTTCATTCAGTGGTATTTTATTTTGCACACTTTTACTTCATCTGAAACAAATGACTCTCATTTCAATGCTCAATTTTGATTTTATTCCAGAAACAAAAGTGTAGTTTCCATGCATCACACAGATATCAGAATGTTAGAGAAAGTCAGTGAAGATCATTTGTATCAATCACAATACAGTGGATCAAGAACAAGATCATCATTCTTTGTTGAACCTCACATTGTAGGACACATAATAGCCATTGTTGTACATGTAAAGCCTCTGATCAGTGGGATTGTAGTGCAAGTTTACAAATTTCTCCTGGAATTTCTGAAGGGGAATACTCATGTATTTCTCCTCTCCGGTCTTGGTGTCATATGAGTAATAGATCTCCTCCGTTGTCAAATCCCCTGGCCTGGTGGCATACATAACTCCGCACACCATAAAAGCATTCCCTACTTGAGGCTTGAACGCACCAGTGGTCCATTCATCTTCGATACCAAATGATTTCTCATCTATCTTAGCAACAACAATTTTACCCTTGGCCTCCTCTGTGGCATACATTACCCACAATCCATTCTCATCAGCTGAAAAGTCCAGGTACTGGTTTGGTGAGTAAGTGTAGGTAAATCTTTCACTTGCTTTTGTGATTTGTCTGTGACTATAAACAGAAGAGGTCAGATTTAATTTGGACATTCTGAATGGGTTGGCAGCCTGGTAATATATAGTGTTACCATGAACAATGTAATTATTACCAGTGCCTTCGTACCCCTGTGGTAGACCATGGTGTGTGAAGGAGGATCTCTGAATGAGTTTGTCATAATTAGAGTACAAATAGAATTCATACACAGAGGGACTGCTGTATGCACCGTACCAGTACATTGACTCATAGTTTCGAACAGGTTTGGAGTCTTTTCCCCAGCCCCCATACTGGTATCCTGGGTTCAAATGAGCATTCACTTGGAAAACCCTAGGCTTGTTGACACTCATGATTCCTGTGTGATTGCAGTTGCCTTCGAAGAAAAGAAAAGTTTCAATCACTGTCAAAAGGCAAATTGCTGATCAGCTATTACCAAAAATAGAGATGGCTGATGGCCTTACCAATATCTGGCTTGATGAACTCCTGCTCCTTCTGGCACTCCTCCAGTTTCCTCTGCAGCTTAGCGAACTCAATGCGGATCACTTCTAGGTTGTTCTTGTCGAAGGTCTCCAGTTGGTTCACAATGAGGGTCATGTTGTGAATCTGGCAGAAAGAGACACAGTTGCAATATAACCAATAAAATAACAGAAGCAGTGAAGCTGAGTCTTGAACTTTAGCCACATTATTTGCAAGTAGTTTTTTTTTTTAAATGGCTCTTTCACCTCAGTATACAGACTGTCGAGCATGGGCGAGGAGGAGTTGAGGGAGTCTTTGAGCTGAGACACCAGAGTCTCAAACTCTCTGAGCTCAACCCTGAGCAGCTCAAAGTCCAGTTTGATGTAACTGTCAGCACTGGTCTCCAGCATGGCCACTCTCACAGTCAGGTCTGTCAGTTCTCGTAATAAGATATCCAGTTTCCCTCCATAGTGGACAAGCTTAAAAGACACACACTTATCAGTTTGTAGACTGTGAAGCAATTACTGTCATGCAATTTAACAACATAAACACAAAACGAGATTAATGCTAATGTTGTTCTGCATTAATTTCCCCCCCAAATCATATTTTGTATAAAGTTACATAGGGACATCCATAATTAATTTTTTGGTTTTACAGATGTAAAAATCACAATATACTTAAAGATAGCGCTAAGAACAAATGCAAAGAAAGATATGTACAGAAATACAACTATGACAAAAAACTAAACAGAGATGAGAAAACATAAACACATGGTTATTAAAGTATGTACAGGCAGGTAAGGTTAAAATAGATACACAAATCATCTGGACATTGTTGGAATAAATATTGTAGGGGTAATACAAGTTACTTTTTATGTAAAGATGGTGTTATGAGCATCAATTTATGGTTATAGTATATTTTTTCAGCTGGAGAACTAATTTAAAAATTCCAAACAACATTAAAAAACATAGAGGATGCTGTTTTATACTTACTTTATTCATCTGGATCTCCACCTCCAGTCTCAGATCGGTAGTAACTTGCTGCATGTGATGCACTCGGTCAGCAGGGAAGGTAATGTCGGGCAGGAACACACTGCAAACACACTCCAGTCCTCCACCAGACGTGGTCACATTCCCTGACTCCCAGTCCTCCATCGACTGCAAGCAAACTCAGTTATTTCATTTAGATATTACACAGAATACTATCTAATAAGGAATAACAGCCATCTTTAAAACTCACGAGCCAAGCCAGTGCAGGGCTCAGGATGGGCGAGAGTAGCAGCAAAGTCAGTAGCATTGTGTCTCTACAGGATATCTGATTGGTGTCTGGTGTGATTGCTACTCAGATCTGTGGGTTTTACACCTCTTATCAGCCAAGCTAAAGCATGTGACATCATTCCACACCCATAACAATTTTATTTGCATCCTTGAAGTCAGTACACCTGCACTGATCCCAAGGATGCAAATAAAATTGTTACATTAAACACACAGTTTTATGATTTATGCTTTTTTTCCTCCGAGAAGTTTATTTAGTCATTGACAAAACTTCAGCATGTAAATAGTAACTGCTCTGTACATTCTTATAAAACTGTCATGAAATTTAACCTAAAAAAAACCAGGTCAAATTTAGTTTTATTTGATTGAGGAAGACAATATCTGCTTGTGAGAACACTTTGCACTGTGCAATATGAAAAGCAAAACACACTCAAGTGTTTCAGAATCAGTTCATTCAACAAAGGCACCATTTGGGGACATCTTATACAGCATTTTTGGACAATATTTTTCTCCCCAAAGTTTATTTACACTCTTTGATTATTATCTCACGCTACTGAACGCACCTCCTATGTGATGCAAAAATAAAAATAAGTTCCCATCTCCTTTCATGATGCTGGGTGCTAAAATGTGGCCTGAAATGACTCAAAGCTTTCAAACTCAATGACTCATCTGAGCATGATATAACAGAACTTTTTTTCACCCAGAGTGCCAAATTAATATACTTCAACTTAGTAGCAAAATACAAAAGTACCACTAACTTTCATGTGATATTTGATTGTCAATTTCTCTTTTCAGTCAGTTTGTATTTTGATTAGCTGGGGCTGTAAGATAATTGGTTCAATATTAATATTAAGCTTTTATTTCACCTGGGAGAAAATTGAAAATGTAATATGAGTCCAACAAAGCAGCTTCTTAAATCCTCCTGTCCCTCCGGATTGGACATTAACGTGAGCATTGTGTCTCTTCTGTTCAAGCTGCAGAGAGCAATAGCTGCTAATCTGGTACATGTTGAGCTCGACACTGTGCAATCATTACATGACACAATGATTTATTATAGGTGTCTGAGGCAGTACTTGCACCTTTTCTACTTGATTTAAAATCTTTTACATGCTGTATATCTCTGTTCTTTTGATTCTGTTGTTATAGTGAATGTGTGTGGCACATGGACATCAGCTCAGGGCACCGTTGCCATTGGACTTATTATTCAGTTTCTTTTAAAATCTTGTTGAACCTATTATCCAGTGACCATTTTTAATCTGATAACCTAATAATGTGCGTTTGCACTATTAAAGGCCACAGATACAATGATTGATAAGACTATTTACTTGTAAAATGTAATCTTTCCTGAAACCAGACTGCACCAGAGTAATTTGAAGTCAACAATTACTATTAGTGAATTTTGTGTTTATTTATTTAGTTGTATTTTTTTTCCATGTTAACAACTTCATGTATGCCATATTGGATTGAAAAAACTGGATCTTGCGTTCATACCTTTATACTTTCATTTAATTGTTTCATTTTATTATCATGAATGATTTTATTAATTGTACACCTTTTCCCTCATTTCCTCTACAGTATCAGTAATTCTGTAATAGCGTTGTTTATATGCATAAAACATTCAAGCAGTGCACACAAGTTCAAATGCTTCAGTTTGATTTTATTCAGGAAAAGACAGTAATAAGTCTATGTGTTACAGTACATAGCTTTATAGACCTCACAGTGACAAAGTGAGGAAATACAGATCAATCGTATCAATCACAACACGGTAGATCACAAAGAGGAGGGATCATGCTTTGTTAAACCTCACACTGTAGGACACGTAGTAGCCGTTATTGTACATGTAGAGCTTCTGATCAGTGGGATTGTACTGCAGGTTGGTGTATTTCTCCTGAAACTTCTGGAAGGGGATGCTGAGGTGTTTCTCCTTTCTGGTCTTGGTGTCGAACGCATAGTAGATCTCCTCTGTATTCAGATCCACTGACCTGGTGACATACATGACTCCACAGGCCATGAAAGCATTCCCAGCCAACTGCTTGAATGCACCGGTGTTCCACTCATCCTCAATGCCGAAAGATTTCTCATCTATTTTAGCGAGGACAATTTTACCTTTGCTCACCTCTGAAGCATAAATTACCCACAAGCCATTTTCATCAGCTGCAAAGTCCAGGTGCTGATTGTCTGAGTAACTGTATGAGAACCTTTGACTGGCAGCTGAGATCACTCTGTAGTCATATTTGGAACTGGTCAGATTCAGTTTGGTCATACTGAAAGGTGAGCTCCGCTGGTAATATATGGTATTATCGTGAACAATGTAGTTGTTGCCGGTACCTTCCCACCCACTTGGTATGTCATGGTGTTTGAATGCAGACCTCAGAATTAGGTTTTCATAGTTAGAGTACAAATAAAAGTCATGAACAGACGGATTTGTGTATGCACCATAGAAGTACATTGATTCATAGCCTCTAACAGGTTTGGAGTCTTTTCCCCAGCCTCCGTATTGAAAACCTGCATTCAAATGAGCATTCACTTGGACCACTATTGGCTTGCTGAGGGTCATTATTCCTGTGTGATTGCAGTTGCCTGGAAAGAAAAAAATAGTGTTGTCGGCTGGCAAAATCAGATTTTTTAAACCATTGTGCATGATATTCTGACTAGTTTTCTTACCAATATCTGGCTTGATGAAATCCTGCTCTTTCTGGCAATCCTCCAGCTTCATCTGCAGCTTAGCAAATTCAATGCGGATCACTTCCAGGTTGCTCTTGTCGTACGTCTCCAGTTGATTCACAATGAGGGTCATGTTGCGAATCTGGGAATAAACACATGAGTCAAAATGGAAATCTGATATTCTAACTATGAAGAAAGGCGCTTTATTTGCAAGTAGGTTTTTTTTTTAAATGGCTCTTTCACCTCAGTATACAGACTGTCAAAAATGGGTGAGGAGGAGTTGAAGGAGTCTTTGAGCTGAGACACCAGAGCCTCAAACTCTCTGAGCTCAACCCTGAGCAGCTCAAAGTCCAGTTTGATGTAACTGTCAGCACTGGTCTCCAGCATGGCCACTCTCACAGTCAGAGCCTTGAGTTCCTTCAAGTAGACCTCCAACTTACTCTCATAGCTCGTCAACTGAAAGAGTCAAAAACATAACTAAGCATGATGACAATGTATCAGCAAAATGTCTGTTTTAGATGTATAAATACTGTGTGTGTTAATAGGTCTTACTGCACCTTGTTCATTTGAATTTCAACCTCCAGGATCAGCTCCTTGCTGACTTGTTGCATGTGCTGAACCCGGTCGGCAGGGAAGGCAGTTTCAGGTAGATACACATGGCAAACACACTGACCCGACTCACCTACTGATGCAGTCACATTGCCGGTCTCCCAATCCTCCACTGGCTGAAAAAAATACAACAAATTGAGCAAATGATCATAATAAATCCTGCATGTTTTAATAGAAAATGAAGGTCACTTACAATCCAGGCCCAAGTGGGACTCAGGGCTGGTAGAACCAGCAGCAGAATTGGCAGCATCATGTCTCAGTTTAGCTCTCGAGTGTCTCGTTGGTAGCCTGGTCAGAGGGTTTTTAAAGACAGCTCTTATCACATCATCACAGACACCTTCTGTCTTCCCACTGTTAATAGCTTATGACAGACATGAACCTTGTTTGCTCACAATAAATTCTGAGGAAGCCTCCACGTCAGGTTTTGTCTGAACACGGGGTGTGGATGAGAAAAATGCCACATGTAGTGAATTCTGGTGGCACCTTGTCATGTTTATGGCCTGTTTGTGTTGTGTGTGTTATATGGTAGAAAGAGGCCATCATATCCACAGTCAGACACAATTTCAGGCTGTGTGAGTTATTTTAACTTAAATTAATCTAAATAGATCATATAGTTTGGTATTTTCATAATCATAAAAGTCAATTTTAACTGGTTTTTGAACAAAATAATCAAATTGCTTCTTTGTATTGCTTCCTCATGCACATGGTTAATTTCATAATCTTATGCATGTGACTTGGGTAGTGCATTTGAGCTTTGTGGTGGAGCTTTTGTGCTTGACAGCATGAGGAGGCAATACTGTGCCACACCTTTGAGCGAAATGCTCAAGCCCAGGAAATCACTATGCACTACCAATTTTTACTCACTTCATTAGCAACACTGACACTTGAAGAAATGTTTGCAGCCTGTGACAGGTTATAGACATGAAATTGAAAAGTTTAGCCTCTGATAAAAGCAAACGTTAAAAAAAATGTAATCTAGAATCAAAATGCTTTGGAGGTTTACGTTGAAATTAGCAAAGGAGTTCATATTACCATGTAAACAAAATGTAGTGGCCTGTTTGAGGCAGAAATGACTGTGGGTGATCCCTCTCCAAATATTGCATATAACTGCATGGCCCTCTAAATCTGCCTCTTGATATGGGCTCTGCTTTTCCTGTTGGTAGTATAACAGGCTGTATGGAGGCTTAATAACATTACTTGCCGACACAGAGTTAGTACAGAAAATGCACAAGAGAGGCCTGACCGGGTTATAATCAGTGAGCAAGTGATAAATGTACTGAGGAGCCAAACCATTAAGTGCTTTATGGACTATTAGCAGGATTTTGAAGGTGATTCTGTAGCTATTGTACAGGGAGCCAATGAAACATTTCAGTACTGGAGTAAAATATTAAAATGTTCATGCACTGTAGCTACGTGTAAGGACTCTTACTCTTTGAATGAGCTGGAGCCATCCTACTCATTGTTTTGAAAATCCTGCAAATAGCGTGTTACAGTATTATGTATCATTGGAATATGAATAGTAGGATATCTTATTTTTCTTTCATCATGTAAAATATATTGTTATATTGTGGTTTTAGCGGGCTAATCTAAGATAACATTAACCTGCTTGCTGGCTAGGTGGTCAGAAGATGCCATGGGTAGTGATTGTTTAGTTGGCTTTGGCTGATTTGCAGCAAGCCAGTCAGTATCATGGATCCAATGTAAACAAAATATAGGCACATTACAGATAGTAACTTTCTTATAAATATGATGATCACGAAATATCATATGATGCAGATTACCAGGATGATCAAGATTCTGACTGTAGTTCAGTTAATGTCCACCAGTGTCATTAATAAAAAGGGTTTTCTGAAAACTACACATAGAACCTTTAAGTAGGATGAAATCCAGAACAGGACCCACTAAGCCGACTGAAACACAACGCCTTTGAATAAAAATGTCATAATCAACAGTGTGAAAGGCATCAGTAAGATCAAGTAATACTAAAACCGAAATTCTCTGTGAGTCACTGTTGATCTTAAGGTCACTGGCTCTGAAACCCAATTATATACTTAGAATTGAAAGACATTCATCAAGTTGTTTGTACACACCTTTTTCAACTAACGTGCTAAGAAAAGGAAGACTGGAAATGGGTTGATTTTCTTCTACAGAGGTGAAAATTAGGTTGCGCAGGGAAAATGCCAGTCTGCAGGGAGACAGATTTGAACAGTTTGGTATAGATGGAATCAAGAGAACAGGTGCAAGACATTAAGATTAATTACCTCCACCAGCTCTCTGGAGTTAAAAGGTGAGAATGTAGACACTGAACTCATGTTAGTAAATTGGTGAAAGTGTGAGGCGTGGCTAGATGCATTGCTGCAAGTAGCATCGCTATTATGATAGACTTTTTCCTAAAAAAAACCCCCCAGCAAATTCAGCACAATTAGTCGTAGCCAGAATCTCATGAGAAATAGATTTGGAGGGATTAATCAGTTTTTCATTTGAAGAGAATTTGAATGAGGCATTACTCTGATCATTATTAATCAATTGAGAAATGTAGTACTGTGGCGATTTTCATATGTTTGTTATAACAGTAGAATAAAAGAGTGTATATTTATAGATCTCCAGTTTTAAAACTTGTAATTATTTTTTCCCCATATCCATTAAGCCCTCAGGCAAATTCCTTTTTGCCAAACTCACTTTTTCACAATTTCTCCAAGGTGCTTTTGGTTCACATATAGGTGGAACATGATCAATGACCTGAGACATAACATTAGAGAAGCTGCCCATCATGGAATAACATAATGGCAAGGTGGGTAGTGTAAACTAATTCATTATTAACAATAACAGTGTTTCAGTACATTAATGTAATTTTTGTTGATGAATCTATCACTATTCCTCTGTTGAAAGGAGCATATTACATCCAACAATGGTGCAACAATGGTCATAAATTGCAACATCTAGAACAGTTGTTAAATTGCAACATAAAGACCTTTGGAAAAGACAAGGACCCTTTGTATGGGTAAACACGGTGACTTATTGTTTGAAATCAAATGCTTCTAATTTATCTGAGTTGTTTCTGTCATCAACATGAATATTGAAAAATCACCCAAATTGATAATGTTTTAAAAATCCTGTTTCAGTTTAGGGTGGTGATAGGCAGTAAGAAGAAGTTCAGCAGGACATAAGGATTTAATAACTGTACCTAAACATTTAAAATTCAGGTAATAGCCGAAAGACAGATTTACAGCTAAAATATCATATATAGGCCTATATAAAACAGCAACCTCTGCCCTTCTTATTTGTCCAAGTACACTCTAAAAACTGTTTTAGCAGGTGATTTTTCAGTCGGCTTCTTATTACTGACAGGAAGCTCCTTATTACCAGTTTAGTTAAAATTAATGCACACATCACTTAAATTAATTAGTGTTGTTTCACTGCAGTTGTTTCCCCCTCTCCTGTTGGCTTGTCATTTCACCTATTGACTTAAAGAAGAAGTTCTATAAATATGTATAATGAATAATGAGGTGCAAAAGCATTAGCTGTAAAGTATTATAATTAATGGGTATTAAGTATTATATGTTTAGGTTTTATAGTTTTATCCAAAGTGACTTACACTAAGTGCATTCAACCATGGATACAATCCCAAACTGCAAGAATCGTGAAAGCACATCATCAAATATGCTGAACAGTTTAGACACAATATCTTGGTGGGAAATTGTTTTTTTTAATTCTTTATTTAGCCCCTTATCACAACAGACATTTTGACTTCTCACTGAAGGAAAAGCACAGGTGTTACTAATAACATTAATGATGGCTCCATTCTATCCATATCTCCAAGTGTCCCAGCCATGATAGTGTGACACTGAATCAACATGTACCAGGACCCTGTAACCTGTCTTCTGTGAAAAAGGTCTATTGCACAGCTGTAGGCACTTACATACTCTATATACAGTGAGGAAAATAAGTATTTGAACACCCTGCTATTTTGCAAGTTCTCCCACTCAGAAATCATGGAGGGGTCTGAAATTGTCATCGTAGGTGCATGTCCACTCTGAGAGACATAATCTAAAAAAAAAAATCCAGAAATCACAATGTATGATTTTTTAACTATTTATTTGTATGATACAGCTGCAAATAAATATTTGAACACCTGTCTATCAGCTAGAATTCTGACTCTCAAAGACCTGTTAGTCTGCCTTCAAAATGTCCACCTCCACTCCATTTATTATCCTAAATTAGATGCACCTGTTTGAGGTCGTTAGCTGCATAAAGACACCTGTCCACCCCATACAATCAGTAAGAATCCAACTACTAACATGGCCAGACCAAAGAGCTGTCCAAAGACACTAGAGACAAAATTGTACACCTCCACAAGGCTGGAAAGGGCTACGGGGAAATTGCCAAGCAGCTTGGTGAAAAAAGGTCCACTGTTGGAGCAATCATTAGAAAATGGAAGAAGCTAAACATGACTGTCAATCTCCCTCGGACTGGGGCTCCATGCAAGATCTCACCTAGTGGGGTCTCAATGATCCTAAGAAAGGTGAGAAAATCAGCCCAGAACTACACGGGAGGAGCTGGTCAATGACCTGAAAAGAGCTGGGACCACCGTTTCCAAGGTTACTGTTGGTAATACACTAAGACGTCATGGTTTGAAATCACGCATGGCACGGAAGGTTCCCCTGCTTAAACCAGCACATGTCAAGGCCCGTCTTCAGTTTGCCAATGACCATTTGGATGATCCAGAGGAGTCATGGGAGAAAGTCATGTGGTCAGATGAGACCAAAATAGAACTTTGTGGTCATAATTCCACTAACCGTGTTTGGAGGAAGAAGGATGATGAGTACCATCCCAAGAACACCATCACTACTGTGAAGCATGGGGGTGGTAGCATCATGCTTTGGGGGTGTTTTTCTGCACATGGGACAGGGCGACTGCACTGTATTAAGGAGAGGATGACCGGGGCCATGTATTGCGAGATTTTGGGGAACAACCTCCTTCCCTCAGTTAGAGCATTGAAGATGGGTCGAGGCTGACACCTTCCAACATGACAATGACCCGAAGCACACAGCCAGGATAACCAAGGAGTGGCTCTGTAAGAAGCATATTAAGGTTCTGGCGTGGCCTAGCCAGTCTCCAGACCTAAACCCAATAGAGAATCTTTGGAGGGAGCTCAAACTCCGTGTTTCTCAGCGACAGGCCAGAAACCTGACTGATCTATAGAAGATCTGTGTGGAGGAGTGGGCCAAAATCCCTCCTGCAGTGTGTGCAAACCTGGTGAAAAACTACAGGAAACGTTTGACCTCTTTAATTGTAAACAAAGGCTACTGTACCAAATATTAACATTGATTTTCTCAGGTGTTCAAATACTTATTTGCAGCTGTATCATACAAATAGTTAAAAAATCATACATTGTGATTTCTGGATTTTTCTTTTTTAGATTATGTCTCTCACAGTGGACATGCACCTATGATGACAATTTCAGACCCCTCCATGATTTCTAAGTGGGAGAACTTGCAAAATAGCAGGGTGTTCAAATACTTATTTTCCTCACTGTATAATATGTTGCAACACCAATCTAGGCACTATTATATGAGGCAACATAACAATGTCAATATAGTACGTTGATCCAGCAAAGCAGCATTTGGAATCAAGTGTCAAACATGGAATGAATGAATGGATGTTTATGGAAGTTACCTGTAATGTTTAAATCATCTAAAAACAGAATCCAGTTCTGCATCTGCATGCAAAACCATTAGTAGTGGGATGATCCTGATAACATAGACAATACTGCACTTTGAAGGTGTGTAAGGTACTAGACTGATTGGCTTAAAGAAGTGAGGTTAATTAATCATCATTATAAAATAATGCACTCTACACATGAGCATTTGCACAAGGACACACATGACACTTTTGTAATGCTTGAGATTATTTATTAACAATCAAGAAGACAGATAAATGATGCACTGCATGAACATGCATGATCAAATGAGAGGTATAATCATTGCTTTATTCATAATATGTGATTCTTCAGTGAATCACAGATAATGACTTAGATCAGGAGAATTGGTGGCTCCTCTGTGGCTTTAGCTGTGGCTTTAGCTGTGTGGTTAAACCACAGATGGTAGTTAACATAGTAGCCATCACTGTACATGTAGAGTTTCTGGTCAGTGGGATTGTAGTCCAGGTTGGAATACTTATCCCGGAACCTCTCAAAGTAAACACTGATGTAGCTCTCTTCTTTTGTTTTGGTGTCATACTTGTAAAATATTTCTTCAGTTTGGATATCAACTGTTCTGACTGCGTACAGAACGCCACACGCCATGAAGGCATTGCTCACTCCTGGTTTATAGACATTAGTCTTCCATTCCTCCTCAACACCAAATGAAGCCTCGTTTATTTTAGCAATGACCATCCGACCACTGGACTCCTCTGTAGCATAGGTGACCCACAGGCCGGTTTCATCAGCAGCAAAGTCAAAATTCTGATTGGGGGAGTTAGTGTAGGAGAATCTGGTGCTGGCCCTAGCAATCACCCTGGACTCATATTTCATTGTTGTGAAATTTAGTTTGGCCAACCCAAATGGGCTGTTGATTTGATAATACAGAGTGTTGTCACGGATGATGAAATTGTTCCCTGTGCCGATCCAGCTGCTGTGTAAGTTATGATGTTCGAAGTGGTTTCTCAAAATGAGGTTCTTGTAGTTAGTGTAGAACCTAATGTCAACAATGGAGCCACTAGTGTACCCAGAGTACCAGTACATAGATTCTCTGTCAGGAACAGGCTTTGAATCTTTCCCCCAGCCTCCATATATGTAGCCAGAACTGAGATGGGCATTCAGATGGCTGACAATAGGTTTGCTGACCTTGATGATACCTGTGTGTGCACAAGACCCTGCAGAGAGAGATGTTAAATGTGTTTAATGAGTCAAAAGAGGGTTTTGATTTAGATGTGGATATTAGTGTGAATAAGCTTACCAATGTTGGGGTTGAAAATCTCCTGGTGGCGTCTCTCGCACTCCTCTAGTTGCAGCTGCACCTTGATGTACTCCCGGCGCGTTACCAGAACCATGTTTTTGTCATAGGTCTTCTCCAGCCTGTCCAGGGTTGCCACCATGGCTGTGATCTGACAGGAAACAAACAGTTTGGCAGTGGATATTTGTTGTGTCTGTTGATGCTGTGACCACCATAAACAGGACTTACCTGCACACGCAGAGACT